ACTAAATTTTCTTCAGCAATCCTGTATTCATTCCTTTCATTCATTTATTTATGATGAGAAAAATAACAATTCAGTTTTTTCATTTATTCATAAAAGTATTCCTCTTTTGGATTAGATTGTCAGAAAATGGTTATGGGGCCGGTCCGGTGGCGCACTGGATAGTGCGCCGCTTGGGAAGCGCGACGGCGCTCCCGCCCGAGGGTTCGGATCCCACATACAGACCGGTTCCCGCTCACTGGCTGAGCGAGGCACGGGAGCAACACCAAGGGTTGCCGGTCCCGTTGCCGGTCCCCGGCCCGGTACGGGGGCGACACTGAGGGTTGCGATCCGTTGCCGGACACGGAAAAAGACAAAAAAAAAAAGAAAATGGTTATAAGTTTTCTAAAAACCTGACCCTGGTTGATTGTAGACTGTTAGCTACCATCGTAATTCCTACCCACAGCTTTCAGGACTTCAATTTGCAGGGAAAATGGTCTTGAGCTTCTCACTAGATATATCTGTTAAGGCAGTGTTTAGACAGCTATCAAGCTGTTTTCTTTCACTGTTAATTGTGCCCAGAGAGTCTTACACCATCTATTGTAAAATAATGGTAAGTAAAAAGGCTCTTTGATTTAAAGTATTTCTTAATAAAAATGATGAGCTCTATAAATATTAGTTACTCTTTTTGTGTAATCATAGAGTTATAGTAGGAAAACGTACATATTTTACTGTGCCTTGAAAATGCTGTTAGTCAAAAACTGTCCAACTTTGAAGTGTAGACCAGAGGATAAGAGAAATAGGTATATAATTTCTCCTAATTTGTCCTTGATAACTAGAATTACATCAGTTCTAAATCATGACTTAACAAGTCAATAATCTGTGTGCCTAAGGAGGCAAATACATAATTGTCATTATATTATTATTTTCAAAACATATTTATTTATAGCCAGTACCAACTATGAGTAAAAATTTTCTGATAATGTTTTGTTTCTATAGAGTAAACATTTATATGGTAATGGGAATTTCTACTGCATTTTTACATTTTTTTCCTTCACAATGTAAGTTATATCATTTCAAAATATCAAACCATAATTTTAAAATGTCAAAAATTTTCAAATCTTAGTTTTTCATATCCATGTAGAGTGTATCCACTTTGATTTTTGTTTTAAAAACTAATACTGTGAAAGAAATACCTTTTTTTTTTCATCCTCTTAAAGCTTTATTGGACATTCGTTGGGCAATTTAATAATCCGTTCAGTGCTTACAAGGCCAAGGTTTAAATATTACCTCGACAAACTTCATACATTTCTGTCTCTTTCTGGACCTCACCTTGGTACGCTCTACAATAGCAGTGCTCTTGTTAATACAGGTAAAAAATTTTATTGTTCTGTATAAAAAAATATCGCATACAGAGAAAATTTAAATACAGCTTTAGTATTTATTTAGTGTTTGTTTTAGAGCCAACTTGATATAGACATGGAATTTCATGAAACAAAAGATATAGCTAATTTTGTTTTGTTAGGTACATGATATAAGCTGATTAAATTCATTTCAGAAAATAAGTAATCGAATATGAGATGGTATTGGTCAAAAGTCACAAGGGCATTTTATTCTTTTTTTCATTAAAATCTCTAAATAGTGTTAACTCTTTGATTTTAGGTTTTGTAATAATAAAGGGATATTGTGAGAAAATATTCTCTAAGAAATTAATCCAAAATTTCTAAAGAACTTAAAGTGAAAATTAATATCCTAATTCAATCAGTACAGATATTCTCATTAAGAAATATTTGGTATTTTTTTTTTTTTGTCTTTTTTCCGTGTCCGGCAACGGATCGCAACCCTCAGTGTTGC